CTAGAGATGTCCCGATCCGATCACGTGATCGGGGATCGGAGCCGATCACGTGATTTTCAAAAGATCGGAATCGGGAGGAAAAAAATCGGGGATCGGGATTTAAAAAAAAAAATAATAATAATTTAAATACTTTTTTTTAAATTTTGTATTCAATGTTACAAAACAAAAATGACCATGTTAAAGTCTTAAAGTCATCCTGAGGCCTTAGTTTTGGTTTCAAATTACACAACATCATGTATGTGTTGCTTCTTTGGGGCTTGTTCTCATAGACCTGGTTGCTTATTTCTCTCAAATCTGGCAACAGAGTGGGCAGGGCGCAGTGTCTAATTGTGGCAGTAAGCTAACGAGCACTGATAAGCTTTATTTTGTTTTGATCCAATGCTGCACAACTGAACTGATCCAATGCTGCTGTGAAAGAAAGAAGCTATATCCATGTTGGATAGAATATCCAATTTAAATAAAAAAAATAACCTTAAGGGACAACTTGAATGCTTTTTTTCTTTTTTTCTCTTAATGCATTGCATAAAGATCGGATCGGGAAAAATCCGTATCGGCAAATTTTCAAAATCAAATGATCGGAATCGGATCGGGAGCAAAAAAAGGTGATCGGGACATCCCTAGTTGTTACTGTTGTTAGGTTGTTACTGTTGTTAGGTCGTTGCTGTTGCAAGGTCGTTGCTGTTGCTAGGTCGTTACTGTTGTTACTGTTGTTAGGGTTGTTACTGTTGTTAGGGTTGTATAATGGTTGGGGAAACCTTTCTGTTCATTTTAGCATCATGTTGGCTAAAATGTTGGTGACATTCTTCTGTATACAAAGGTACCATGCAATGTCAAGGTCAGCAAGAATGATCAAGGTCATTACTTTTCTTTTTACAATATAATGAATTAATATATTAATAAACCAATTATTGTGACGGACCTAGTTGTCATCCCGTTCTAAAATACTGACCTACAGGGAAACAACAGTGTTGCCACCATCACTTAGACTTGAAATGTAATCTAGACAGAAACACATGTCTCTAAAAATCAATGCTGTTCTGAAGGCAAAAGGTAGCCCTCCCTGTGTTTAGCCTCCTGATATTCTAACTGTTTGTGTTCCTGTCAATCTGTCCTCCCCCGTATTGTTCCTCCTCTGCGACCAGAGCCTCTGAGTTCAAGTGATTCATGTATAAAAAACACAGTCAGACAGACAGTGTCTGGTCTCTAAATACTGTGAGTCCTGACCCAAGAACAGTCTGTTGGCTGCTGAAGGAACGGCACCAAGCTGTTGCTGCCTCATGTTTGAGGAAAATCTGCAGCTTCTCAAGAGCTCATGCAGAGCACAGTGAAGAAGTGAGAAACTGCAAGAGCAGATAAGATTCTCAGTCAATACAGAAGAAAACAGAAGACATGGAAGCCACATTACACTAAGTTCCATTGACACTCAAATGTGCTTGATGGTCTTTCTCAATGTCTGACTTACATGTTTTGTTGGTCAGTGTTGTGAGTTTGAAGGCTAAGATATGATTAAAAAGATAAAAAATGTTCTCCACTCTGTCATTAGAAATTCCATTTCCCTTTAAAGAGTCAATGCCGGCCTATTCTGTTTTTTGCATTGTCTACAGTTAATCTAGGCATAAATGCCACATACATAATCCTATCAACAGGATATCAAAGTCTGTCACTCAGCGTCCTAGTTTAGTTTAGTCATGGTGTTTCTCAATGAGCAGAGCGGCTCCCTGTAGTGAACACTTCATTTAACCAAAACTGAGAGCAGCTGGCTGTTAAAACTCTTTCACAGTACACACACAAACACACTCTTGATATTCCTCTCTCCCCTGTGTTTATGGTTCTCTCTGGCTCTGATTTCCTTTTCTCTCTCTTAGTCCACCACATAATTATACTTTCTAGTTTGCCTTCATTTAATTTAAACTGTCAAATGATGTGCTAGGCAGGTGCACTGTAATGAAGCAAAAAAGAATTACACATGCTGAAAATAAGTGTACTTTTGTTTGAATTTCGGTGACATTTTTGTTAAATTTGCATTTTTCCCAGGTTGGAATGCAGACTCAGAAACCTGATGTGGTCTATATGCAGCCGAATGTATTGTAATCCAAACAATAGGAAGAAAACTCATAATTGACAATTTTGCAGAAAGTGGCAAATAAAACTCGTAATTTGTTTATCAGAGTTAGCAATAGTTTAAATGTATAATGTACAACCTGATTTTTGGGCTCAAAATCAGGTTTTGACTAACAAACCAGGACTGAAATATATATTATATTTATAAAAAAAACATATGTACTTGATTGTGAAAGAAAAATGTGAGAGTATTAGTTTATCAGATTATTTCGTCGAACCACAGATAGATTTTTATGACACATACAGTACAGTATATTTTCTGTATAGGAGTATAGATATACACTGTTGTTTTTATAGTTTATTTTTCCATGTTCAGGCAGCTTTTAAACATAAACCACAAGAAGCTTCTGTATTGGATATAGATTTATCTGTCAAACGGTTACCTTTTTTTAGTGACCAATAAAGGTGAGTTGGAGCTTTAAGTTCAGTCCATATTATTATGCCTATAACTATTTACTTCTATCCCTTTATGGCACATTAACAGCATCTTGTCGCTCCATCTCCAACTTGTCCTTTATCAAACAGTGATCTTACAATATTTTACTAATCTATTTTAGGATTTGTGACACTGAATTTAAGTGTGTTCTGAAGGCCTGTGTGTGTTTGTGTGTGTTTGTGTGTGTTTCTGCGTGACTGTGTTTGACTTTTGGGATTAACAGAGAGAAAAAGACTGTGAGCGGCGCGCAGTCCTCTCTGCCATCAGGACGGCAGCCACCCTGTGAGAGACGCCGCAATGAGCTTTTATCTTGTACCACAGTAATTAAGTTCTCAAACGACGATGATAATCGATGGTAATCTGGACCGCTAAAATGATAATGTTGTGTTACTCTCCCAATCCCTTCAAATCCAATTGAGTATGTGGTTCCGGGGACAGAAAGCTGGGGAGTCGTTCTCTCTGCCGAACATCCCAAGTGTTGGCAAAGGTAATCATTATCGCTGATGAGCTCTGCAGCCAAAAACAGAGGGTGTTATTAAGGGAGCTATTTCAAAGGTACACTTTGATGAATACAGATAGTGTGTGGAGGCAAACATGGTAAGTAACATCTGAAGGGTGAGAAGTATTAGTCATCAGCCTCCACTTCTGGGAGACAAGTTCAGCTACAGCACCATCCTCTGCAGCTTCAGTGGAGCAGCTGTTGATGGGTGCCTTGCTCAAGGACACCCAAGGGTGATTGGGTCCCCTCCACACACACACACACACAAACACACACACACACACACACACACACACACACACACACACACACACACACACCTTCCAGATTATCCACTTCTGTGGCTCATTAAGCTGTGACTAAATGAATGGATTGTTTTTCTCCCACTCAAACACACCCACGCAGAACAAAAGGTCTTCATATCACGATGCAACACAAGCAATAAACTAATAAGCAATCCCACTCGTTTTAGGGCGGGGTAAGCTGCCGCAAGAAAATAGATAATATTGGAAATTAAAACATGGAAGAAGAAAAAAAGCTTTCGACCTGTTTGCTCTTTAAAAAATCACAGCATTGATTGAGACTTGTTTTCACGCTGACTGCGGAGCAATTTGACAGCTTGGTGACACTGGTGTGATGTTAACTTTAACTTCAGCCACATTAACATGCCTAGAATGCAGAACACATAGTTTGGTCACATCATGCTTTTCCCCAAATGTTTATAAACAAACAATCAAAAAACAAAGCCTAGCATTTCCTCTACGTTTACTAGTGTTTGAAATTCAAAAGTGGGAAATGCCATTGGATTTTCAGTCTGCAGCCTTTGGGGAAAGCCTTGAATACTCATATTTAAATCAAACAATGAGGCCTGTATGTTGATCTGAAGTTCATTTGAGTCTGCACACTTTGGTTTTATTGTTTTCCATCAACAGCTCCTAGTTTTTCCTCTTTAAGATGTTGTATGATTTTTGTGTTGCAGTTCTGGATGTCTGCTGTGGCCACCGCCATGCCCATTCCATCTGGGGCGTTCATGCCTGTCTTCATACTGGGTGAGCATTGACACCTATAGCCTTTAAATGAAGCAAGGTTTGTGTGGGGGGTTATTAAATGATGATACATTTCGGTATCAATAATTTGATAGCTTTCATTTGCACGTTTTTGCCCATTAATAGCCAGTTAACGGCATTTTTCAATTGATTTAGCTGCCTGCAAATCAGCTATATTTCAAAATACTGTTTTTATGGAATCACAGTCGTTGATTTATTATCTTTCCCATGAGATATTAGGCTCTTATTATTCAGATCAACATTTTAGGAATCTGTTCATTTGCAGTTCATCTGTTGTTTTTGTAGTGACCTTTACAAATGCTTCACTTTAAATTATTCATCATTACAAGCTGCAAACAACTTGAAATGGATCAATTCAGCTCCAGATAGGCAGTGTCATGTTTTGTGTGCTATTCATCACGCAAAACAACAGCAACAGTTTCCAAACATGCAAATGAGACCATTACATCGGCTTCAATGAACGAGCAAGATAGTTTCTTAACAGAAAAGTCTCTCTGACTAATGATGTTTAGGCCATTATCATGTTGGAATGATTTCTTTAATCAGCCTTTTCACCATCTGCTCCCACAACAAACACTGATGACTTGAGGTCTGTTTGCTCTGTTTAGAGATGAACGGAAGGCTGACAATCTTAATAATTGTTTTCCACATGTAACGGATTACCTTGCTACATTACATATATTTAATTTAAAATGCCACTTCAAGGTCATAGGCCCAAATCCAAACAGACCCCTCCACCCCCCCCCCCCCCCTCATAAATAATACAAAATGAAACTAAAGTGGCAATTCTTATTTTTTGATAATCTCTTGTTGTTTTTAAATCTTATCTTAAGATAAGATATGTTTGGTTTTTGTAAATATACAAAACTTTGCAATCAAATGCACAACTGTACTGTTTTCTAGACTAGACATGGTTATACATAATAAATAATTCATCAATTATTAACATCAGTATGAAAGCATAACATTGTTGTGTGTGTTTTGTGTG